TAGACCCTTCGGGTTTAGGTTGAAGATGTAAAACCTCACGTCATGATTGCCACCACCCAAAAAGCTTTTTCCCCATGTCCAAGCCAATCGCCAGTCATCTAAACCCGTGTCTAAGACCTCCAGACGAGCTAGTGGTGACAACCATCCCGTGAACTCTAGCGTTTAGAGGTTACCGCCGTGGTATTGAGACGATAGGGTCGAGAGGTTATGATTGTGCACATCTTTTGCACCAAAAAGGTTCTGACCCCACTGGTCTTGAGAGTGAGTGATCCATTCTTGTTTTACTTACCATTTCATACCCCAGTGAGGACCTTCATTGCCTTTCCATTTGTTCCTCGGACTTGAATTCCATGCATGGTTGGTTGTGGTCGATAAGCGATTTTGTTGAGACTTGCATTTATCCATGAATAAGTTGAGAACTTTTCATTTGCCTGTTTTGGTGGCTTTGAATGTCGTTTGTGGTGGATGTCGGTATTGCTTGCAACGGTTCATGTGTTGATTGTCAATGACATCAAGAATTCTCGCTTCGTGCCCTTTGAGTTTTCCCCAAAGTATTTGTGTAGGTTGAAATATACCATGTGAGTGAAGTGGTTTGCTTGGGGACAAGCAAACATCTAAGTGTGGGGGAGTGATTCTGGCCTAATTGCACATGTTTTGCCCCCGTTTTACTTAGATGTTTGTGCCAATTTTGCACCTAAAAGGTTGGTTTTACGCTAGGTTCTTCGTGTTTGAGTGTGTTTCAGGGTTTAACAGGTGAAACCAGTCTCGGAGTCGAAAGATTGGCGAAAAGGATCGAAAACCGGGAGAAGAGGTGAAAAAGAGCCAGTTCACGGCTAACTGAAGGAGTTCACGGTCATGCAAGACCGTGAAGAAGGGGAGTTTACCATGAATCGCGAGGCGTCCAGAGCCAATGTGAATGTTACTTACGCAAGGTGAGTTCATGATCACTAAGACCGTGAACACAGGCAGTTGACCGTGAACGGATGTGAGCGATGCGGTGCGTTTTGGTTTGTGCATTTAGGTGCTTAGCAACCTAAGGATTGTGCATAATAGTGCTTAGCACCCCTTAGTTTTGTGCATTTAGGTGCTTAGCAACCTATGGATTGTGCATAATTGTGCTTAGCACCCCTAGGTATGTGCATTTAGGTGCTAGTAATCTAATTTGCCACCTTAGCCTAGTTTAGAGAGGAAAATCCCCCTTTCAAGGGATACTTAACCGAGTTGGTTTTCCTTCCGCTTTCTAAGCCACCTAAACTAGGTTAAGTTAGGGTGACCCTCAATATTGAGTTAAGCAAGTCGATTAATCGTGATTAAACCGTCCGACCTTAGAGTTGAGTGAGGGAGTAAGTCAATTACCGATTGTCTAAACCGAGAGGGTCGAGTGACACGGCCTTTCATCCTTACCTCGGTTTAGCAATTGAGACTATGGTCTCCGACCACATATGCATTCCTCTACGGTTCACAATTAATGGGCCCAAGGCAATCGTTCGAATCCACATAGCATGGTAGCGGTTAGGGGGAAGCGACACCCGAGTGACTTTCCCACAAAAGAGTTTTCAAACACAATCACCTTTGCTTTCTTTTATGTCAATTAGCAAACCTTTAAACTAAATTTATGTTTCTATATAATGATTTCAACAACAAAAGTAGGGATAGACGGACCGGTCCGGGTCGATATCTAAATACTTGCCCTATACTGCACCCGATTAGAGTTTAAAAACTTGGGCTCTAATTGGGGTTTTATTGTGGTGTAGGTTCGTGCTAGTCACTAGGTGTCCAAGTTTTTATCTTATTCACATCTAACTCCAAGTGAGTTCTTTTGGTGGAACTCAAACCCTTGAAAGAATAGAGCATAAAAATCTTCTCTCTTCCTCACTAGCTCACGCTAAAGAGAGAATTTACACAAACTCACAACACTCAAGCAATACAGAGAATGAACACATATAACTTCTCACACATATCGGTAATCAAAGAGTAATTGATATTGTTTTGTGTATGATTGCTTTGCTACATTATGTGAGTTTATCTTGCTGCCTTCTTCTATTTATATTGCTTGGCCTGGGACTTTCTCCGGTGTTTAAGTTAGAAAGATAAGTTGAAGCGTAGTTTAGTCAGAGAGTAAATATTTGAGTCACCATTTATGTTGTGAGGGGTATTTATACCCTCTTCGGGGTCTTTAGCATTAAATGAGATGTCAAACAGTCTACAAATGTCCAGCTATCCAGACGCCTTTGGTGGCTTTAAATGCCATCCCTTACACACAACGAGGTCTATAATCCCAAGGAAGATCCTGTCACGTTGATCGATGCTTCGTCAGGTGTGTACGCGCATTCTTTCTAGAGATGCTTCCCAGACGGACCGACGACCCGTCCCTCAAGTCCATTATGCGGTCTTCGGGCTTGAGCGCTCCTCTGCATCTTGGGCCTAGTCTATCTTAGTGGAGTTTTGCTCTCAATGGACCCAGGCCCAAACTTGCTCAACACTGGGTCCAACATTTGCCCTTGAGGCGAGAAAAACTGTAATTTTGTGTTGCTAGTACTACACTACATGTGTAGAGTGGCTCTTTTGATCATAGTGTTTTGCAAACATTTGGCAAAATATTTCTCCATTATTGTGTCTTAGTTTTAGCTTTGAGGATGTTATTATACGAAATTTGGATTAGACCACCTTCTTTGATCTCATTTTAGAAGTACAAGGGCCTTTGTATTTTGTAGGGCTATGTGGGCATTGAATTTAATCTACACAATAAATAAAAGCCAAATGAAAAAACTTGAAGCCCCATTTTAAATTTCCTGTATCCAGAGTGAAAGTAGGAATGACATTTTGGTCTTCACAATTACTTTTTTTTATCCATTAAAAAGACACTTACTAGGATTCAAACCATGACCACTTAAAAAAAAGGAAAGATCATAACCAATCACACTAAGTACATTTGTTGTATCTTTTTAAATTAAAAACATATAATCGCAGAGAGGAAAAAATCATTCCCCCATTTCAAATTCCCTGCTCCAGGAGCGTTTGTAGGAAGGGTAGAATAGGGAGTGTCAATTTTTTTCTTTTTTCTCTGTGGAACGGGCCAACTTACTGTACACATGCAAATTTAAATGGGTCCACGAGTGTCAATTTTTTTCTTTAAGTCCTTTTATTTCTCCGTGGTGGTAAAATATATATGAAAAGGAAAAAACAATAATCTTTTTTATTGCTAAAAAGAAAAAAAATTTAACAATAAACTAATGCATGGATTCTAATGGGCTAACCGCTAATCATAAAATAAAAGAGTTGAATGGGTCTGACATACACGGGATTTTCCCATCAAGTAAAACAAATGAACATCATGCGTTTGCCATTCTAAAACAAGCTATTTTCTCTAGCATAATATATATTATGCTATTATTTTATATCTTAGTGGCTAAAATATAATGTAAGTTATTCAATGATTCAACCTCGACCAACCCAATTAGTCCAATTTTTATTATTTCAAATATATATTATGTAATTATTTGATATCATAATGATTAAATTATAGTGTATATTATAAGGAATCGTTTGGTATTTGTTAGTAAAAAACTAATCAGAAATATCTATTTGGTTATTTTTAACATTAAAACGATCCTAAACATTTTCAGTTTTCTTTCGAAACTCTATAGTTTTATTCACGAATGCAAATGTCGAATTGCAGTAATCTCTTTTCTTTCATTATTTTTTATTTTCAAATAGAAAGTTTAAAAGTAAAGAATAATTAGAATTTGGCATGGGTCGGTCAAACATGCCGAATTTCAAGTTTTGGCCCGTTTTGATCAAGTCTAATTTATAATCACATGGTTCCCTGATACTTGATAAAAATCTCAATCCAAACCAGTTTGACAGGTGAGTCCGTGTTTACCACCATTTTCTAGGGATACAGGAACGGTGGTTCTATCCCAAATCGTGTTGTTCATTCATGATTTCTTTAGATTTTATCATGACTTGGCAAAAAACCAGAAAGCACAATGATGACAAGATGAAAGTTTTATAAAGCAAATTAATCGACCAACGGGCCGAGTAAAAGCTAGCAACGATTGGGAGATGCTCATTTCCCGAAAACCGGCAGGATATGCAATTTTTATTCGATTTTCTGGAATTCGGTTTCTATAAAACTTACTCCACCTCATCATATTACTAGAAACAATATTGTTTCACAAGGTAAGAGGTACTTCATTTTGGTTCATAAGGCTGATTTTTGATTCGTTGTATCATTCATGTCTCTTTCCTACTAAAATTCACTATTTTTATCACGTGTTTCTAAAAAAAAACTATACAACAATAAGCTATACACCCCGTTATATTATCAAATTTCATACCTCATCTTCCTCATGCCAAATGACGCTAGTATGAAATAGGCCCGGATGTCCTGTCTCTGTCTTCAAAATTCCATGATTATTCTGTAACTCATAAACCTTTTGTTGGCCTTTTTTATTGTTTATTTTTAAATCGGTCTTGAAAACTATTTTTCAGTAAAAAAAAGGTCCGAAAACTATTTTTCTATTTCCATTTGCCAACTGTCTTTTTATTTATATATATGTATTTTTGGGCGTTCTCTTCGAGAGCTTCCTTCGTCAGCAATTAAATATACAAACCATCAATAAACCCAACTCTTCTCTTTTGATCTACGCTTCCGCTTTGTTTCGTCTCTCTCTTTTTCACCGTTTAAACCTCCCACCCCCGTTCTCGTCCCTTCCTTTCTTTCCCTTTCCCCCCACCTCCCTTCCAAAAGTCTCTCCCTCTCCCTCTCCTCCCTTTCCCGCAACCGGAGAAAAGCAGAGAGAGGCCGGTGGTACGGTTTTCCGTGTGGTGCGGTGTCTAGTCGTCGTGTAGACTGAATTTAGAAAGAGACGGAGAGATAGATAGACAGATAGAGTGGCTTTTCAGCAAACGTAACAGCAACGACACGGCCGAAGCTCCCATAGAAATCTCAGATCTCTCGCTGCCTTCGCCGTATCCGCCTCCCTATCCCGCCGGAAATGGCGCAGAAAACTCTGATCTACTCCTTCGTCTCCCGCGGGACTGTGGTTCTCACCGAGTACACCGAATTCAGCGGCAATTTCAACTCCATAGCCTTCCAGTGCCTCCAGAAACTCCCCGCTACCAACAACAAGTTCACCTACAACTGCGACGGCCACACTTTCAACTATCTCGTCGATAATGGCTACAGTGAGTTCCTTCTCTTCTCCTCCTCGCTCGTTTCTGTTCGTTCCTTTTTCTGTAATGGAGTTAGTCGGCTCCAATTTTGACTGTTTAGTGTCATTCCGCCAAGTAAGTCTAATTAGAAGGATTTAGTTGTTGATCAGGATCTGCTTGGCCGTATTGTTTTTTTGATTGAGTAGAATCGATATCCAGGAGGGAGATGAATCAATCTTGAAGTGGATCGCAGATCTTAGTCGGTGTTGTTTTCATTTCTAGTTGTATTGTATGTATCTCCTCTATGATGTGGCGGCGTACTGACTTCGTATTCTACTTTGCAGCGTACTGTGTCGTTGCCGATGAATCAGCTGGAAGGCAGGTCCCCATGGCTTTTCTGGAGCGTATCAAGGAAGATTTCATGTCCAAATATGGTGGCGGGAAGGCTTCAACTGCTGCTGCCAATAGCCTGAACAAGGAATTTGGGTAATCCGATCTTTCAGATTGGTGGAATAATTGATTATTCTATTCTTACAAGTTCTTGACTGTAACAAAAACCCTTGCGTATTTTTAGGCCGAAACTGAAAGAGCATATGCAGTACTGTGTGGATCATCCTGAAGAGATAAGCAAGCTTGCAAAGGTTAAAGCTCAGGTTTCAGAAGTGAAAGGAGTTATGATGGAGAACATTGAAAAGGTACGGTGAATCATCTTTCTGATCTTGGTTTAACAAAGATCACCAGTGCGTCTGTTATTAGTACCAGATTACCAGAGTAAATGTGGATGTAAAATGTTCATATTTCTCTGTGTCTTCATGATCATGAATATACCATATTTCGTGTTCCTTTTGACAGCTGTCTTGTGAATGTGTAGTGTAGCTCCTGCTACATGGGAATGAACTGTTAGTTGTTTACCAGATGCTCCAATTTCTTATCGTGTATACATATGTGCATTATAATGAGATCAATGCTGATATTGCCATAGGTATAAGGTTGAGTATCAATGAGTGTCGTAAACCACCCTGTCCACACCATTGTTGTGGATGTCCCCAGCTGAGTGTTATCAAAACCTCCCTGCCCCTCCATGTTATGGCTGTTCCATTTGGAAGATGTTTCTGTTTGCTTAAGCAGTTTCATTAGAAACTTCTAGTTCACTGATGTATTTTTCATATTTTTACTGTTGTTTCTGGGTTTGTTCTTTTTTGCTTGATGTATTTCTGGATTTGTGATTGAAATCTTCAAATTACTTAGTGTTTCCTCCTCGGACAATCAAAATTAAATATGTTCTGTATGTGGCCTTATGAACATTTGGCCAAATTATAGTCCTTCTTGCTCAACTCGTCCCTATTGTGAGTTCGTTTGCATACATGAATGATCCAGAGAGTGCATCATGCCAATTTACTTAATCTAGTTTTGGTACTAATTTCTGAAACAGTGAGGCTGACTTCCCATTGGGATTGTGTTCCGGCAAACGCACATGCTTTTGTTCTGTCAAATACGATATCCCCACAAATAGCTGAAATTCTCTTATTTTATGTAGGTCTTGGACAGGGGAGAAAAGATAGAACTTCTGGTGGACAAAACTGAGAATCTCCATCAGCAGGTGAGTGATACACTGATACTCTACTACTACATAGCAGTTTGTTCCTAAGGCTTCTACGGTACTTCCATTTTACACATGAAAAAATGTTAGCTTCATATGTTCACAAGACTCAATGCTGTCAATATATGCGACTTATTGAGCCTGCATGATACATACACTGGCTCCGGGATATGAATGTCACAAGTAACTCTGCTTGCTTTGTTGTTGGTGGGATGTGTGTTTGTGGTATTTGTTTTTAAGTACAGAATCACCCCAGTGGTCATGTTTGTGCTGGACGTGCCACAACAGAGGAAAGGGGTTCTCAATTCTTATTCTAATATATGCGAAAAAATTTTGTACTTGCAGGCTCAAGACTTCCGATCAACTGGAACGAAAATCAGGAGAAAGATGTGGCTGCAGAATATGAAGATCAAGCTCATTGTTCTGGGTATCCTCGTCGCATTGATCCTCATCATCGTACTCTCAGTCTGCAGAGGTTTCAAATGTGGGGAAAAATAAAAATGTGGAGTTGATGGATTCGGAGACACCCGTTTTCATTCGTTGTCATCCTTACTTTGGGTGGTGAGAGCTATTATTAAAGACGTACTACTACGGAAATATATTTTGTTGTCACCTTTTGTCTAGTAAGAGTTTTAGAAGTTTTCGTGAAATTGCATAGGAGGATGAACTTTGTGCCTGTGAATGAAATCCGTGTAATCTACTATGTCTGTCCTATTGATTGCTACAATGGCTTTTTGACAGTAAGTATAGTATTTGACCCTCTCATTTGATGTGAATTCGCGATGTCGAACATCTGCCGAACTATGTATGATTTGCAGAATATCCAGTAGCCGTAGTGGTGACCCTAGTAAAACTTTCAGTTTAAAGACACTTGTATTTAATGGTTTAATAAGATCCATAGAAGAATAATAGCCTCCTGAGAAGGCAAGCGCAGAGGTGCTGGTCAGGGTAGGCATTTAAGCACTCCTTGATTCCAGTACGCAGTTGGGTTCTCTGATCGTCACCTTTCCATTGTTCTTCTCTTCTTCGGCATGAGGGTATGGAACTTCACTCTTTCCCTCTCACTTCTCAACTCTCCTCCACTCCTTTTGCTAGTTGTCTCACCACTTCTCTCTTTCTCTGTTTCTTTCGCTCTCTCCCACAATGCCAACTCCACTTTCCATCCGTCCACTTTTCCCTCAAAACTCTAACATGCTCTCCTCAGGAGAGTCCCGCAACCATTCCGAAATATGTTTAACCCTCGGCTGCACACCCAAACCCGACACGTTTGAGATGTTCGCGAAGGTGATCACGTTGATGGCATCCATTGCTCTTCTCTTCTTCTTCACCATGGGGGTTGTTTCTTCCCTTTTGCGTATCTAGAACTTCACTCTTTCCCTCTCATTTCTCAGCTCCCCTCCACTCCCTTCAATAGTTGTCCCACCAACCAACTCCCTCTGTTTCCTTCTCTGCCGGAAACTGACTTCTCCCACAATGCCGACTCCACTTTCCTACCCTCTAATTTCCCCTCAAATCCCTCCTTCCTATACGTGCACTCCATAGGGAAACCATGCAACCACTCCGGATTATGCTTTCCCCTTAGCTGCACACTTGAAACTCCCAACGCGCAAGATGAATTTGAATTGTTGGCCCTCGAGATTGGCTTTGCTAAGGGGATCACATTGATAGTATCCATTGTTATTCTCTTCTTCGCCATGAGGATTGTTTCTTCTCTTATGCGCATATCATATGGAACTTCACTCTTTCCCTCTCACCTCTCAACTCCCATCGCCAGTTGTCTCACCAACCCACAATGCCAAATTCACTTTGCTACCCTCCAATTTTTCCTCAAAACCCTCCTTCCTGTACGTGCTATCCTCGGGGTAATCAGGCAACCACTACGGAATATGCTTTCCCCTTAGCTGCACACACAAAACCCCCGGCGCACAAAGACAATTTTGAACTGCGGTTCACAAAGGGGATCTCGTGGACAGTATTCACATTTTGCTACATTGTTCTTCTCTTCTTCGCCATGACGGTTGTTTCTCCTCTTTCATTCTTCCCCTCTTACTTCTCAACTCTCCTCCACTACCTTCGCCGGTTGTCTCACCAACTCCCTTTCCATCTCCTTCTCTGTCGGTAGCTGACCTCTCCCACAACGCCAACTCCACTTTCATACCCTCCACTTTTCCCTCAAGACCTTCCTTCATATACGTGCTCTCCTCAGAAAAATCCGGCAACCACTCAGGAATATGATTTCCCCTCAGCTGCACACCCGAAACCCCCGACACGCGAGACGAATTTGAACTGTTGGCCCTCGAGAGGGGCTTGGCAAAGGTAATCTCGTCCATAGTATTCAATAAATGATCAGCGTCTTTCATCACGCTGGATCTTAGTCGACAGCAGCCATGGAGCTTGGACGCCCTGGTGAATCCCTCCGCCAATCCGAAGTTTTTGAGTGTGTTGATGACGTCGAACACATTCAATTGTGTGCGATTGCAGTCGTTGGAGTACGACGTTGCCGCCTAGGCTAGGGTTTTCAGGTAGAGAACGAATATGTGGGTTAGGGTTTTCAGGGTCGGGGTTTCCGCCGACTTGAACCTGACCGATTGGCAGACTTGTGCCACTACGATTCTGGCGATCCCGGTTGTGCACTATGACGGAGTGTTCTTAGGAGGAGGAGGTAGAGTAGGAGCCGCAGGAGTTCTTGGATGTCGGAGGGATGACCTGGTTCTCATGGCGCGACTTGAAGCTTCATCTGAAGGAGATAGTCGCCGAGAGAGATTGGCTCTGGCTGACTGCTCTTTCTAAACCCTTCGAACAATGGCACGCTGGCTGGCGGCTGCTGTCCGACGGGTCAGGCAGGTATGAGTATGTGTCAAAACATAGCACCCGATTAACCCGCCCGATCAACCCGACCGCAACCCGACTGCAATCCGAATTGACTAAAAGTCAACAACCCGTAACCCGCCCGACCCGCAATCCGATTGACCCGCAACCCAACTAACCCGCAACCCGACTGACCCGCAACCCAATTGACCCGCAACCCGACTGACCCGCAACCCGATTAATCCGAACCCGATTGACCCGAACCCGATTAACCCGTAACCCGACCGACTCAACCCGAATTTCATCTAATCCACTTGAATAATTATAAAAATATACAATGCATATTTTTTCAAAATAAAGTTTTTCATTCTAAACTTAAGTAAAATTATTTTTTCATTTCGTATAAAAAATTTAAAAAATATGAAACTCACTTGATATTACGTATTTTAAGAAAATTACCAAAATTGAAACATGAAGGTCACTTGAGATCATGACAATATTAATATAATATATAAATTAAAATTTTGGTTAATTTAACTATTCAATAAAATTATCAATTAAATATAAATAAAGTAAAGTAATGTGTTTGGTAATTTGATGTTTTTAAAAGAAGAGGAAAATTTTGGTGTATTCAAGTTTTTGGGAAGGGAAAGAAGAGGAAAATTTGGTTATTTGAATTTTTTTAGAAAAGAAACAAGTGGGAATTTTGGTGGTTTTGATATGTGAGAAGAGAAAGAAGTGGGAAAGTTTGATTCTTTTGATTATGAAAGAGAAATAAGGAGGGAAACTTTTGACTTTTCAACTTTTTGTAGAAGGAAAGAAGAGGATAATTTGGTTCTTTCAATTTTATGGAAGAGAAAGAGGAGGGAAAATTGAGTTTTTCTAATGTATGGAAGGAGAAAGAAGGAGAGAAATTTTAGTATTTTTGTGAAAAGAAAGAAGGAAACAAATTTGGTGTTTTCAATTTTTTGGTTTTTCATAATTTTAGCTTTTGAAATATGAATCTTTAACTTTTATATGGAGGGCATGACTAGTTAAAATTATTCTTATATGCTTTGAAGGCTAATATGTATATATGTATGTAATTGTTTATGGGCTAATAAATGAATTAACCATTAGTTACAACAATTTATACTAAACTTGATAAGTAATCTTTGACGGTTCGTTGTTTAGGATATGAAGTATATGGTTAGGGTATAAGGTACATATGGTTTAAGGTGTATATGGTTAGGGTATAAGATATTGATGGTTTTGACGGTTCTAAGTTTTTTATTAACATATGTTCACTTGAAGTCATTTGAAGTCTTTAACGGCAGGAGATCCCTTTTTAATTTATGTTTATGGTACGTGGTTAGGGTACAAGGTATGTGGTGTAAAGTATAGGATATATGGTTAGGGTATAACAATTAGCAAATATCACTTTTTATCTATGTTTTGAAAATCAAAGTATGAATTTCACTTTTAAATTAACTATACTAGCAAAATCACAACTCAAGGACATATGGTTAGGGTATAGGTTATGTGGTTAGTGTATAATGTATTGATGGTTTAGGGTATACAATCAACAACATATACTAACTTAATATTGTTGATTGAGGGTAAGGCTAAGTGTATAGGATATATGCTATTGAGTAAGTTATGATTGAAGTCACAATAATTTTACTAAATTTGATATCTAATCTTTAAAGGTTCAATTTTTAGGATAATTCGAACAATTTTACAAATAACTCGTTTGGCAACAGTTTACTGAAGTTATTTGGGCAATGAGTTATTTTGAAATAACTCCTTTTATCACTATGCTTTTGTCAATTACCACACGCCAAATACCAGATTTGCATGGTTATACTAAACGAGATACTTTAATTCAATTACTACTTAATTAATACTAAAATATCAAATAAACAATTAACGGTGTCTTTTGGTTGCAAATATTGATATCACCATTACTATTAGCTATAATACTTTACCAATTATGATTAATTACATAACAAGTTTACAAGTCATACAAATTGATTTAAAATTTTGACTAGTTTTTTTCAAAAAAATAAAGTATATATATACGAGGTAGAAATAAATTGGTTAAAAATTTGAGAAAATATTTTAAATTAGTGTAATAAAATGTGTAAGAGTGTAATGAGTAATGAGTTAAGTTACTTGATGCGCTGGCCCGAACAACCCGAAACCCGAACAATTCCATTTTCCATATTCGAACTTTGCTTAATATTTATTAATGTTGTTATCTAGTTTCACGTTCCATCACGAGAAGTCCACAACAGAGATTATTGGGGGGGAAATGGAAATGGACTCGCGCCTTCTTTTCATTTATGAAAAGATGTAATGTAACAAATTCGGAATAGTTCATCACCAATCCCAAGCTAATTTCATCCACGTCACCAATCCTCGTCCAAACAAAACTCTTATCATTGTCGTCGATTGAACATAATCTACGGTGGGGACTACTTCTCACTTTGTGGCCCGGATCGGTTATCACAATAGATACCAATCGAATTCTTTCCAACCCATAAATATTTACGGGAAGCTTTCCTTGATTTTTTTAACAACCATTACTATCATTTTAATTAACTCACAATAGTAAAATTTAAAATTTTGTTAAGTTAATCTAAATTATATATCCTCACATCACGTGAAAGATGGAAATATCTAGAGGAGGAAGTGCATATTTACATTTGTTTGGATTGATCTATATTGTCATCCAATTTTCGTTTGGAGTAATCTATATTGCTCCCTAAAAATGTTGAGATAGGAAAAAGTGTTTTTCTTCTTTGCTTTTAGAGTGTTATTTTATTTATTGAATATATGGTTTGTTAATAGTGTCTATTGGTTGCAAATGTTGATATCTCCATTGCTATTAGCTAGTTTACTTTACCAATTACGATTAATTACCAATTCATTAGTTCACATTTCACAACAGCCATAAACCAATTAATTACTTCACAGCAGCAGCAACAAGTTGAAGACAACAGAGGCAAGCACTGAAGATGTTTCGAAACATGGCAAAGAAGGTATAGGGTATGTGGTTAGTGTATAATGTATTGATGGTTTAGGGTATTCAATCAACAACATATACTAACTTAATATTATCGATTGAGGATAAGGCTAACTGTATAAGATATATGTTATTCAGTAAGTTATGATTGAAGTCACAATAATTTTACTAAATTTGATAGTTAATCTTTAAGACAATTCAAACAATTTTACAAATAACTCGTTTGGCAATAGTTTACTGAAGTTATTTGGGCGATGAGTTATTTCAAAATAACTCCTTTTATCACTCTGCTTTTGCCAAATACCACAAACCAAATACCATATTTGCATGGTTATACTAAACAAGATACTTTAATCCAATTACTACTGAAATAATACTAAAATATCAAATAAACATTTAATGGTGTCTTTTGTTTGCAAATATTGATATCACCATTACTATTAGCTAGTGTACTTTACCAATTATGATTAATTACATAACAAGTTTGCAAGTCATACAAATTGATTTAACATTTTGACTAGTTTTTTTCAAAAAAATTATGTATATATATACGATGTAGAAATAAATTGGTTAAAAAGTTGAGAAAAATATTTTAAATTAGTGTAATAAAATGTGTAAGTTGGTAACGAGTAATGAGTAAGTTACTCGATGCGCTGGCCCGAACAACCCGAAACCCGATCCGCCCGCAACCCGCCCGACCCAAAACCCGATGAACCCGCAACCCGTTTGTCCGCAACCCAATTGAACCCGAACCCGATGAACCCGCAACCCGATTAACCCGCAACCCGTTTGAACCCGAACCCGATGAACCCGAACCCGATGAACCTGCAACCCGACTAACCCGCAACCCGTTTGAATCCGAACCCGATTGAACCCAGCCCGAACCCGCCCGAACCCGCCCGATTGACACCTATAGGTATGACCGAGGAGAGGCTAATTGAGGGTTCGTTTGGATGGAACATTTTTAAAATGAGATAATTTGGGACAAATGCCGCATTTTAGAAAATAAGGTAATTGTACGAGAAATGTGTACACAATTGTCTTATTTGGCTTGTTATGAGACAATTACAATGAGACATTTTATGAAAGTACACGTTTGCACTCATCTTTTTACCCTCATTCTTCATCTTCCTCTTTTGCTCTCTTTGTAACCAGCGCTTATATACAGGCCAAGAAAGACGAACACTCAAATCATAATTGGCAATAAACAGAAAAAATCAATACCATAAATTAAAGTTGCAATTAGAACAACAAATCAATATCAAGCAGAGCATTCAGAGGAAAAGCTACAAATTCTGTTGGTCGAATTAGAACACTAACGAATCTCGTCGGCCGATTCTGTTTCAGTGGAGGCAAAGCTACTGACGAGGACAAACGGGAGGCAGATCCATATCTCCATTAACGGAATGAAGGGTCTGCATCACCGTCACCACACTCCATTTCAGTGGAGGCAAAGGTACTAACAAGGACAAGCGGCGATGGATCCAAATCTCCGCTATAAACTAATTGACGACGACAGCTGGATGAGTCTCCCAAGGACCGCTGCTCAATCGACCACGACGACCCACGAACGACCCACATGCAGAACCCAGTTCCATTTTTCCCTCTTCGCAAGCCAAATCTTTAATTTCCCTCTGTATCTGCTCGTCGCGGGCGATTTCCCCCTCTGTCACCAAGAAAAGAAAAATAAAAAGAGATAGGAAAGGATAAGTGATTTCTATCTCCATCTGCTCGTCACCGGAAAAGATCTGCTCGTTGCTAGAAAATATTTCCCTCTCCAATGCTTCGCAACATATTGGGAAAGATAAGAAGAAATGAAAAAGGAAAGAAAGTGGGGTCATATTGGGGAAAGGGCTAGAAAAAATGAGTCAATG